CAAAAAAAAGAGAGAATCCTAAGCCCCTGGGGAAAGCGATCTCTCTTCTGTTAGAAACCATTGGTAGCCACCCCAGGCTTCCTCGCCCCCGCGGTCACTCCAGCCCCTTTCCCCCTTAGGACTTGGAGCCCGAAGCGGTTTTTAGGAACAGGACCCTGCGAGCTTGGCTAGTAGAATTTGCTCTACTTGGTGGATGATTGGGTGGGAGAAATAAAATATGGCAGCTATTACCTGCCAATTTGAACGTTAGGGAAATCAAACTGGGCTGTGGAGGAAGTCATTGCCTCAGCAAATGGACAAGCCCAGGGTTTCTTCCTGTGGAAACCTTGACAGTTTCTTTGTATCTCTCCTGACACGGTAGCAACTTCTACCCAGGGTGGAGAGGAAAGGTGAAATAATCCACTTAACCCAGCACAATGTTTTCCTAGCCAGATTTTCTCCAGTGTGAAAATGTTTATTGAGTCAGTGATTCCACTGGGTAGGGTCGGTGACATCAGAGCCACTTCCCCTATTTAATGCTATAAATAATAAATGGTGACACTGAAAGTCTGTTGGATAGCTGCATGGTTTCTGTGGATGATGGTATCTGGGGAGTTGAGGTGCATGTTTTAAAAATGGAAGTACAGTAGCATAAATAGGGAGGCAGCTTAATATTTGCTGTCCTTTGCATAATTCACAGAACTAGACTTCTCCAGCATTCTTGAGTACTATAAAAAAAAGCTCTAGTAGTTTCTGATTTGTGTGTGTGTGTGCACGTGTGGTTGCTTTCTAAGGGATACTGTTACTTGTGGATTTTTATTTGGTTTTCATTTATTAAGTAATTTTTTTCATCTCAGTATAATTTGTCAAGCTATTGTAGTCAAGCCTATGACATCCTGCAACTTTTGAGGTAGATTATTTTGGTAAAATATCTTAAGTAGAATTACAAGTATAGTACATGTTCTTATGGATGTACGTATAATACATGTACTTACAACATAGGAGTACTTCATAATCTAAAAATTGTATCTTGGTACTTCTTTGACATTGGCTATTCTGTGCTCCTTTCATTTCTAGTCATTTAAAAAAATAACTAAATGTCTTTATTTTCAAAAGAATTAGAAGAAACATAGTGTATTTGGTGCCTGGTTTTAAAAAAAAGTCTTCAGCCTAAATTTATTGCCTTCCTATATTCATAACTTAAAAACATTTTGATTTTACATGATTGTACTTGTCTATGATCAGAAAAGATATTTCAGCCTTTTAAAGACACTATAAACTGGGGCTCTTAGAAAATTTAACAAAGAGTTTAGTAGTTACCTAGATCAATGTAAAAATGACTTTTTATATACAGATTTTGATATTCCCTCAAAGCAGGGGTGGGGGACGTCCAGCCTGCAGGCTGTATATGGCTGGCAAAATCATTTGGTCTGGCCCTGTCGAGGCAACTGCAGGGGTTACTAGAAATTCAATAAATCTAGGAGCTTTTTTCAAAGCTAATTTTTAAGGTGATAATTTTGTCTGGCCCTCAAATGATGTTATAAATATCCAAATGGCCTTTGGCAGAAAAAAGGTTCCCCACCCCTGCCTCAAAGAGATACCAGTTTAGACTCTCAGGCAATGCTTTTCATAAACATATATGTATTTATTTTAGTGTAGTAGACAGCACAGCTACTTAACAACTGATTTAGTAAATCCAGGATCAGATGTAGGAATGATAAAGCCTTAAAATCTGATTGCATGTGGCTTTCTGTATTCACTGCATTTTAATTAGTTTGTAGAAGTAGGTTCAAAATATTTTACATTGGTTTCAAAACAACATGTTTGAAGGAGGGGAAGGGGTTAAACTGATGGTATTTTGAAAGCCTAAAGTATGAAATATTTTTAGATTTTTATGAGTCAGCTTCAATACTCAAATATTTGTGATTGTGCTGCTCAGTATTTAATGGTTAACAGGATAACTTTCATTTGGTATTTTTGAGCATGCTATATTAAAGGGAGGAAACAGATTCTTGGGTGTCTCCAACTTCTTAAGCTTCATCCCTCTACTTCCTTTCATTTTGACTCTTTCTCCTTTTTTTTCTTGCACTTTTTTAGTTTACTAGGAAGTAAAGCTGGTGACAGAATAATTAAAATCTCCAAAATATAACCACTTGTGATTTCTATCCCTGTCTGAGGCTGGGTCCACAAAGAATGCTTCTCCAACAGACCTACCTCATCAGGTTCAGTCTCTAAAATAAAATATACTCCTTTTTTAAAATATGTTTTTAAAATTGATTTTAGGGGGAGAGAGGAAGGGAGAGAAAGAAACATCGATGTGAGAGAAACATCCATTGGCTGCCTCCTGTACGCCTCCTACTGGGGATGGAGCCTGAGAGCTGGGCATGTGCCCTGACCGGCAGTGGAACCAGTGACCTTTTGGTGCATGGGATGTTGCTCAGCCAACTGAGCTACCCCAGCCAGGGCTCAACTAAATATACTCTTGATTGAGACAACTGTATTTACAATTGCTGTTGGTGAATAATGTAACCACCAAATCACTTTTATGGCCTTATATTGGCCCAATACTATACCTTGTTTATGGGACTGTGTTCGAACTTCGGGCTTTGGTAGAATCAGCTTTATTATTATTAATGAGGTAGAAAAGTAGTAACCATTTTTAAATATACCAAGTTCACCAGGCTATGTCTAGTGCAGTAGATTTCACTGGAACGAATGAAAATTGGGCATTTTGTATCACATGATATTTATAAATGCTTGAGTTAGGCTATGAGGCCCTCATTACTAGAAAGCACTCACAGAGCTGCTAATTGAAAGAGAAAAGTGGATCATCTTCTATTAGAAGAGGCAGAAGTTGATGTTAAAAGTTTAGGAAAGGTAATCCTGCCTCCTCTGTGGGTGTGAACTCATCCCTTCCTCCACCATTACACAATTAACAGGCAGT